CGGATGCGGCGGGCGAGCTGGATGTCCTTGGGCATGATGGTGACGCGCTTGGCGTGGATGGCACACAGGTTGGTATCCTCGAAGAGCCCCACCAGGTAGGCCTCGCACGCCTCCTGCAGCGCCATCACGGCCGAGCTCTGGAAGCGCAGGTCGGTCTTGAAGTCCTGCGCGATCTCGCGCACCAGCCGCTGGAACGGCAGCTTGCGGATCAGCAGCTCCGTGGACTTCTGGTAGCGGCGGATCTCGCGCAGAGCTACCGTGCCGGGCCGGTAGCGGTGCGGCTTCTTCACGCCGCCGGTGGCCGGCGCGCTCTTGCGGGCCGCCTTAGTGGCCAGCTGCTTGCGCGGCGCCTTGCCGCCGGTGGACTTGCGAGCAGTCTGCTTAGTCCGCGCCATAGCTAGCCTGAAAGACAATGGGATTAAACTAGGAGAGGGTGCTCCTGTATTTATAAAGGACCAGAATCACTCTGATTGGATTGTGGGCAATTCCTGTTAGTCACGAGCTGCTTAATTCCGGAAGTGCTTCGAGCTATTTAACATTGGTTCATCCATCCAGTGCAAATTTCTGATTGGTTCATTTCAATCAGCAGCCATCTTCCCCCTTAAGAAAAAAAAAAAGCATTTTCCGAGTTGCTTTATTGATACTACACTGTCGTGTGATCCACAAGCACATTAATCATTTAGTTAGAATTCATACACCTGCTATCTTCTGCATAGTTAACTTTGTTTCATCAGGATTCTATTCCCAATAATTGTCCCGTTTAAGAATTCACCGTCTAAGTCTCTCGAATCCTTTTGCACATCTACAGTTAATGTCTCATTCTCTGTAACATGGTCTTTTAGTACATATTGTTAAGATGTGAAGAATTTTGTATTATTAAGGGGACACGCAGCAAAATCCCAATATCCTGGAATCTCTAGATCTTTATTTTCCTGTTTGACTCAAAACTGGTAATTTGGCTCTCTTCTATGGTTTTGACGCACTTAAAATGTCAATCTTGGGTTAATGGCGATATCCGTCAACAAAAGGTTGGCAATGCGGAACTTTAAAAAATGGCGGCGATGGAGAGACTTTCGAACGCTGCAATGGGCTAGAATCTCGGGACTCTGCGAGAGTCTCAGGGTGTTCGAGACAAACTCACAGTGCTTTTAGGAAGACTTGACTCGGCTAGATAACAGGATTTCTTTACCTACTTTTCACATCCCAACGCGAAGAGTTTCCTGTAATTAGAAGCTTTATCGATTTTTAATTGAGTGATTTATGTCACCTAACAGTGTTCTAAATCAACCTATAGGAATACATGAATGCCTTCCTTTTTGAGCCAATAAAGAAAGCAGTTTTTGAACCTTAATTTACATACCATTTATCTATTGGTCAGTTTCTCTCCAATTGAAGATTCGATTTGTGAGTCCTTGCTGTATCCGTGATTTAATACTTGTGGTACCTTCTTCTCCTCGGCTTTGTTTCCTCACTTTTCTTGCTTTGTTTTCCACACCACATGTCGCCAAGTACGCCCCAGCCTCAAATCATATTGATCACTCAGTCGTGTCCGACTCTTTGCCACCCCCATGAAATGTAGCTCCCCAGGCTCCTCTCTCCATGGGATTCTCCACGCAAGGAAACTGGAGTGGGTTGCCATTTCCTCCGCTAGGGGATCTTCCTGGTCCAGGAATCGAATCCGCTTCTCCTGCATTGCAGGCCAGTTATAGTCTTAGCTACCAGAGAAGCCCCCAGGCTCAAAAACGGGGTCCAAAAAAGAAGGTGGTGACAAAGGTCCAGAAGGAAGATGGCAGGAAATAGAAAACTGGGCTTAAGGAGAGCTGCACTGTATAGATCTGCCTATAAAATGTGTAAGTAGTTTCACCTGGACACTGGCATCTTGTCCAAGGACTTGGGCATCAAGAACTCGTTTGTCAACTTCAACATGTAGATACTGGGGGTCAGATGTCGCGCCTGGCACATAAATGCTTGACCATCACAAAGTGCTGGACCATCACATTCAGGGTGATCCAAAGGGCCATGTGCCTGCTCTTGTACTTGGAAGTGGCCAAGGACTCAGTGTCCAAGAGCACCAAGGCTATCACCAAATTAAAACAGCTCCAAGTAAAATTTTTCTCGATCTCTAGCATTCCTCAATGTCTCTTTATAGAGCTACTCATTTTTGTGTATTGAGAGCTATAATATCAAGATTTTTTCAGCTTTTTGCAACATTTCTTTTAAAACAGTCATTCTTTAAAACGCAGGAAACCATAGTACAATAGGAGAGGTTAAATTTTTGTTCAGTGCAACAAAGAATTTGAAATAATTGTGTACTATAATAACTATTAGGTAATAGTATCCTACTATTCTGGCTTTTGTGTTTTTGTTCCTTAAAATCTTTTAAATTGTTCTTATATGTACTCATTGTTTAAATTTAAAATTTTTCCGGTGAGTAACTGCAGACTTAAAATTGTTTAATGATGGCACTTGTGTTTGGGGTCCTTGTTTCAAATAATCTTACGTGTTTCACAAATATTAGTGATGAGAATGTGTTTGTACAAAGAGGCCCAAAATGTCATTTATGCAGTGTATAGACCTAGGGTATTTAGTGGAATCTCAAAGAGTTTAATCTCGACCAGTAGGGTGGACTATTTCAAAGGTGATTGTTGAAATTTATATTAAAAATTAAAAAATTTCACTTTATTTTCCTTGAGTCTAATATTGATATAATTAATCCTACATTGTGCTGAAACTGGGTATGAAACCCTCATTTTGAGCCATTTTTAATTTTTATATTCCCTACCTTCAGTCAGTGGTAGGTTCTGTATTCATTTATGCAGGTGAGGAAAAAAAAAATCAATCAAAAGAAACAAGTAAGATGTAGAAGTGCAGGGAGGACAGAGGATATGGAAAGAAATGCATGATTTTCCTGAAAATTTGATAGTTTCTGTATCGCTGAAAGTAAAATAACATTGATAAATTGTTTTCAGTACTTTTCATGACTTACAGATTTGCTATTTGTTACATCAGCTAGGCACTAGGAATGTACATGCCAGAGTGTATTGTGTGTTCCTGTGGAATATGGAGGTTCATCTAATTGTGAAACAATGTTTGCATTAATGTTTTTGTTTTTAAATTGTTTTCCCCTTAGATAAAGATTGTAGTTTCAATTAAATATACCGGTTATTTTAGATGATATGGTAGAATCTTTAGAATCTTAGATGATTCCAAATGAGCTGGCTGTCTTTATTGATGGATAACAGATTGCCTTGAAGTTAGTAGCTTCACACATGTATTATTGCACAGATTCTGTGAGTCTGGGCATGTTTTATCTGGGTCCTCTATCAGGATGCTGTTGAGGTGTTATGCAGGGTTGTGGTCTCTTGATTGTTTGGGGGAAATATGTGCTTCCAAACTCACTTAGTGGTTGGTTCTTTGTAGTTTTAGGACTGAGAATCTTATTTACTTCTTGACTGTTGGCTTGAAGCCCTTATAGGCTGCTAGTCTTCCCTCAGTTCCCAAAGAGCCCTCTGAGTTTCTTGCCATTTGGATCTGACAACAAGGATGCTTGGTTTGTGAAAACCAGAATGCAGGACTTCCCTGGTGGGCTGGTGGTTAAGAATCTGCCTCCCAAATCAGGCGATAGGTGTTTGATTCCTAGTCCAAGATTCCACAAGCCACAGGGCAACTAATTTTGAGCCCTTGAGCCAGAGGTACTGAAGCCCGGGCACCCTAGGGCCTGTGCTTTGCAACAAGAGACACCATCACAATGAGAAGCCCATGCACCACAACTAGAGAGCGCCTGCGTGCAGGAATGAAGACCCATCGCAGCCAAAAATAAATAAAATTTTATTAAAAAACCGAACTAGCATGCAAGATATTGGAAGATGTTACGATCTTATTGATAACCTTGTTATAATCACAACTTTTTTTACATCCTGTCACCTATGGTCACATGCCTTGATGGGTAAAGAGGTCACAGGTCACATCCATGGTCCAGGGGCTTGATCACACAAGGGTGAACATTAAGACCAGAAATCGTTGTGGGCCACCTTAAGAGACCATCACAGGACCCAGTAGGACCAAAAAGCAGTTACCTAACATTTGTCTTTTCCCTCCTTCTTCCCCTCACACCTGCCCCCACTGTACAGAAATGGCCTGCAGGTAGGAAATCTACTTAAGGAAAGGGCACCTTGAAGTCCTTTTAATCAGGCCTTTGCCAGTTACTTTGTCTTGAAGCCAAGACAAACGACTTTGTTATTACTTTGGGGACTTCGTTCCCCTTTTCTTTGCAAATGCTGACATATGAAAAACCCTGGTGTGGCTGAGTCCCAGCACAGGGATAGATGTCCATGTGTTTATAGCTAGATTTCTGACGTTATACATGACAAAAGGATCCGGAGGGTTCATCAGATGTTGCTTCATTATAGACTACCAGGGAGTAGATTTGACAAGGCAGGAAAACAAATCCCACATTCTTTGTATATTAAAAAAACCTTGAAATAGTAGTTTATGGCCCTCGTGCCACCTAAGCCTCATCACGGGTGCCTTCACCTCCTTTAGGTTAGTCTTTCATTGTACCTCGTCTTTAATTTCTTTCCGAGTAGCTGTTTATCAGATTTTCTTGAGATGCAAGGAGTCTGTTACAGTACTACTTGCAGTTGCTCACCAATGGCACTTATGGCTTATTATCAGAGAATGTCTCATTTTAACAACTCATTAATTTTGCAGACTAAGGACTCCTAGTAACAGAGTTCCCCAATTCAAAAGCCATTGTGTGGCACTGTACGTGCAACACAGGGTTAACATTCTTCAATGCACAGGTACACAAACATGAGTTATATTAAAGCAATTACACCGAGAGATCACAAGCTCCCTAAGCCCCATTTCCACACAATGGAAAAAATAAAATACAAAAACACACCATAGCTTAATGCCACGAGCTCTTTCAAGTGAATAGATAGGTGGCCCTGAAAAGGGCCTGGTAGACTGATACAGAATCCTCGTTTGTGGGTTCCGGCTTAGCCGCCAAATCCGTAAAGAGTGCGTCCCTGACGCTTCAGTGCGTAGACGACGTCCATGGCCGTGACCGTCTTTCGCTTGGCGTGTTCGGTGTAGGTGACCGCGTCCCGAATCACGTTTTCCAAGAACACTTTCAGCACCCCGCGAGTTTCCTCGTAAATGAGGCCAGAGATGCGCTTGACCCCACCGCGACGAGCCAAGCGGCGGATCGCGGGTTTTGTAATACCTTGAATGTTATCCCGCAGAACCTTACGGTGACGCTTCGCGCCTCCTTTCCCAAGCCCTTTTCCACCTTTACCGCGTCCAGACATTGTCCAAGATAGATCAGAAAACCTATGCACAAATTTGGTATGTGCCGAATTCTTATTTATAGTACGGTCGCGGACCTCTTTGAAAACTTCGAAAAAGGCGAGAAGGGGGAGGGGCTCTTCGTAACCTAATTTATTCCAGCCCACAAACGTCTGAGAGTCTGTGGGGCGGAGTCGAGGAGAGAAAATTTCTTTGCTTATTCCCTGAATTTCAGCTGGAAGAGTCCTGTGTAAGGGCGTTTAAAACATTCTTTTATTTATTAAGAGACTGTACCTATTAAGGCAACATCTATTTTCAACTTTGAATATTTAAGCTAAGTCATTGACCGAGATTTTATATTGCCTCATTCTTTAATCGCATATCTAAAATGCAAACGAGTCTCTGGGAAGCATTTTTGTACAATGTAAATGAAGGTGAAATAATTATCGTGATAAACTGATCTTAAGGAGCAAGGAAATTGCTGATATTCATTGGGAAACAAGGTCTTCTCGCTGATGTGTGGTACTCGGAGGCATGATTTTATTGCCTGAGCCCTCACTACTTGCTAGTTTTTCACATTCTGAGGTTTAGGATCAGGTTTGTGACAGGCGTTTCCTCATTTTCAATTTTTTTTTTGTCTTTTTTTCATTTGCAGGATAAGAATGTTAACTCTGATATCATAAAGGAGTACTACTGTAATTACCTGAGGAAATTCCATCTTCTTGCTTCAGAGACTGACTTTCTCCCCAGTATTATTTTTTAATTTGTATTTCACTTTTGCTTTATCTTAATTTTGTGCCCGCTGCCTGACAGCATGTGGGATCCAGTTCTCCAACAAGGGTTGAACCGATTTCTTCTGCAGTGGAACTGTGAATTCCTAACCACTAGAAAGGTGGGGAAGTCCTGCTCCCCAATATTCTTAAATCTCTCAATCTGGTATTTTGCAATCTGGGCCTATGTTAGTTGCTCTCATAACTTCCACACCCCTATGTGTGCAAACTTTTTGTTTAAGAATTCAGTGCTAAACTCTTGTTGTTTAGTTGCTAAGGTGTGTCCAGCTCTTTGCAACCATCATGGATATATATATATATATATATATATAGTTTGTTCAATTGAAGCAGCTGTATCCATTGAGATCTCCATCCCTTACTATGGGGTGTCCCTTCCCCATTTCACCCATTTCACGCCTTTCTGAGCTTGTGTAGATGGAAGGTCTTGACCTGGAGGATGAGGAATATGTGGTATCTTTATCTTTTATCTAGGCAGGGCTCAACTCCTCTCTGTTTCTGGTATGACTCTACTCTTTGTCTTGGATATATATTCCCTGTATTCCACAGGGAACAAACTCCAACTGCTCAGCCTGGCGGCATCTCTCTCCTGCCTCTATGTGTGAAAAATTGTCTGAGCCTTGGAAAAGAAAAAAAGAGTGTCCATGATGTCCAATATACAAGGCCACTGAAGGATTCTGTGAAAATGTACTTTGATCATCTATTTACTATTGATTCTAAGTACTAAATTAAGTGAATTTACTTCATTTGCAAAGCCCTTATTTGGTAGAAAGGCAAATCACTTTGGTCAGGTGAAACAGATATATCTCCAAAGATTTATAACCTCTTGGATTAATAAAATGATTTTAATAATCTTATCCTAAGATTTCTTTCTACATTGTCTATAAATACTCTAATATCTTAAAGGTTCTTTGAATTTAATACAGCATTTTACCTGTTGGTTCATTTATTGAAAAGTGAAGCTCTTTGACACAAATTCATTTTTATTTGTTGATCATGATTTTTTGTTAAAAAAAAAAATGAGATATTATGTGCTTGTGACTGGAGACTGTGACATTGGAAATAAAGACAGTCTAAGAGATAAGATGTTCCTGTCATCTTCATCCTTAGGCCCGGGATATTACACACTTGTCTCTCAATGCCATGGCAAATTATCATTGATAAGCAGCACACAGTATGGTGGAAACTGCAGACAGGAAAGCAGATTCTTCATCAAGCATGGGTTCATTGTGGACCAAGAAAATGCTCTGGCCACTACAGAAAAACCTCTGAAATCTGTTAAGATATATCTAAATATCAAATTAAAGTAAAAGAATGGACTGAATTTCCTTTTGTTGTTATATGAAAATATAGTCTAAAAAGTCTGCAGATATGTTTTTTAGTTTTTCTAAAGAAGGTATTTCTGTTTAACTATGTATTATGCTGAATCTACAATACATTGGCCACTTGATGAGAAGAGGTGATTCATTGGAAAAAACACTGATGCTGGGAAAGTCTGAAGGCAAAGAGAAAAGGAGGTGGGAGATTTTTACCCATTACAGAGAAATATTATCTCTATCCAGTAGAAAAGATAAAGGTTATAATATAATGCAATAAACCTTTTTGATCTAAATTGCTCTATTGACTTTAACTCAATCTTCTTCCCTTCTTACCCAGTTGTGATGGTGGTGGTGGTAGTAGTGGTAATGGAGGTTGTAAATATTTCCTCTATACATCTTGATTTTGGATTAGCAAAGGAAAAATAAATTAAATGTATATTTCATACATACAGAGGAAGAGACCCAGTTCACTTCAGTTCAGTTGTTCAGTCACGTCCGACTCTCCGCAACTCCATGGACTGTAGCATGATAGTCCTCCCTGGCAATCAACAACGCCCGGAGTTTACCCAGACTTATGTCCATTGAGTCGGTGATGCCATCCAACCATCTCATCCTCTGTCGTCCCCTTCTCCTCCCGCCTTCAGTCATTCCCAGCATCAGGGTCTTTTCAAGTGAGTCAGTTCTATGCATTAGGTGGCCAAAGTGTTGGAGTTTCAGCTTCAGCATCAGTCTTTACAATGCATATTCAAGACTGATTTCCTTTAGGATGGACTGGTTGGATCTCCTTGCAGTCCAAGGGACTCTCAAGAGTCTTCTCCAACACTACAGTTCAAAAGCATCAATTCTTCAGCACTCAGCTTTCTTTATAGTCCAACTCTGACATCCATACATGACTACTGGAAAAACCATAGCTTTGACTAAGTGATGGACCTTTGCTGGCAAAGTAATGTCTCTGCTTTTTAATATGCTGTCTATGTTGGTCATAACTTTTCTTCCAAAGAGCAAACCTCTTTTAATTTCATGGCTGCAGTCACCATCTGCAGTGATTTTGGAGCTCAAGAAAATAGTCTGTCACTGTTTCCATTGTTTTCCTATCTATTTGACATGAAGTGATGGGACCAGATGCCATGATCTTAGTTTTTTGAAATGTTGAGTTCCAAGCCAACTTTTTCACTCCCCTCTTTCACTTTTATCAAGAGGCTCTTTAGTTCTTCTTCACTTTCTGCCATATAAAGTTGGCGTCATCTGCATATCTGAGGTTATTGATATTTCTCCCAGCAATCCTGATTCCAGCTTGTGCTTCATTCAGTCCAGCATTTCTCATGATGTACTCTGCATATAAGTTAAATAAGCAGCATGCTAATATACAGTCTTGACATACTCCTTTCCCTATCTGGAACCAGTCCCTTGTTCCATGTCCAGTTCTAACTGTTGCTTCCGGAGATGTGTACAGATTTCTCAAGAGGCAAGTCAGGTTGGTATGGTATTCCCAACTCTTTCAGAATTTTGCACAGTCTGTTGTGGTCCATACAGTCAAAGGTTTTGGCATAGTCAATAAAGCAGAAGTAGATGTTTTTCTGGAACTCTCTTGCTTTTTTGATGATCCAATGGATGTTGGCAAGTTGATCTCCAGTTTCTCAGCCTTTTCTAAATCCAGCTTTAACAACTGGAAGTTCCCAGTTCCTGTATTGTTGAAGCCTGGCTTGGAGAATTTTGAGCATTCCTTTGCTAATGTGTGAGATGAATGCAATTGTGCAGTAGTTTGAACATTCTTTGGAATTGCCTTTCTTTGGAATTGGAGTGAAAATTGACCTTTTCCAGTCCTGTGGCCACTACTGAGTTTTCCAAATTTGCTGGCATATTGAGTGCAGCACTTTCACAGAATCCTTTTTTAGGATTTGAAATAGCTCAACTGGAATTCCATCACCTGCAGTAGTTTTTTTCATACTGATGCTTCCTAAGGCCCATTTGGCTTCTCATTCCAGGACGTCTGGCTCTAGGTGAGTGATCACTCCATTGTGATTATCTGGGTCATGAAGATCTTTTTGTATAGTTTTGTGTATTCTTGCCATCGCTTCTTAATATCTTCTGCTTCTTTTAAGCCCATACCATATCTGTCCTTTATTGTGCCCATCTTTTCATGAAATGTTCCATTGGTATCTCTAATTTTCTTGAAGAGATCTCTAGTCTTTCCTATTCTGCTTTCCTCTTTCTTTTCATTGATTGCTGAGGAAGGCTTTCTTATCGCTCCTTGCTATTCTTTGGAACTCTGCATTCAAATGGGTATATCTTTTCTTTTCTCCTTTGCCTTTTGCTTCTCTTCTACTCACAGCTATTTGTAAGGCCTCCTCAGACAATCATTTTCCCTTTTTGCACTCTTTCCCTTGGGGAAGAGACATAGGAAAAACTAATTTAAAGAGGTGGGTTAGAACTTCAGCTTATATAGTGTCTTCATCAAAGAATAGATTTATAGAGAAATGACAGTGCAAAGAAAAGCAGTTTTAGGCTTCTAAGGACAGCAAACTGTGAGAAGGTAAATACATGGGAGCAAACTAACTCAGATTTGTTAGCAAATTTCTGTGGAGCCTCTCTACTCTGACATGTCTACGGCCGTCTCCAGGACAGAATTTATGTCTTGCCTTAAGGCAGAAGAGGAGTAGAGAGGGCTTTTTCTTGCCATTATTGCTTATTAACTGCCGCTGCTGCTAAGCCACTTCAGTCGTGTCTGACTCTGTGCGACCCCATAGATGGCAGCCCACAAGGCTCCCCCATCCCTGGGATTCTCCTGGCAAGAACATTGTTGTGGGTTGCCATTTCCTTCTCCAATGTGTGAAAGTGAAGATGCTCAGTCGTGTCCAACTGTTAGCGACCCCATGGACTGCAGCCTAGCAGGCTCCGCCGCCCATGGGATTTTCC